GCCGCCCAGATGCAGCTCATCTGCGGATAATTTTCCAACTTGAGCGTTCAGATCCCCAGCCAGCACTACAGTGTCCGAGCTTCTTCTGTGGCGAAGAAGTTCGTTCAGTTGGCGATAGAAGTCGTCTTTTACCGAGTCATCGCTACAGTTTGTCGGTGCATAGGCAGCGATAACGAATAAACACCTGTTAGTCCCGCACGACTTCGAAGTTTTGAACGAGCCAGCTAATCGGACAACACACATCCGGCTACTGATTGGAACCCAATCAACCAGAGCAGTTTCAGCCCGGGGACTCAGGGCAATGCCAACACCGGCTTGGCCGGTGCTCGAAGCTGCATCGTCACCGGATAGGCGCAATGAGAAAGTGCTGCTAGTGTCACCTGAAGGGGATCGCAGAGTGAGTACAGAGCTCGAGTCTTGCAGGCGCGTCTCCGATAAGCAGCAGATATCGATCGAGAGGGTCTCTAATGCTCGGGCAAGTGCTGCCTGTTGACCAATCTGAAGCAATGTGCGAACATTGAGGCATGCCAGTCTGAAGGAGGATCGAGGGCTCCAAATGGAAGCCGATGAACTGGAATGGGCCGCTTGCTTGGACATGGGCCTGTTGACAGTGCAGGAATGACGCTCTGCGTTCACCTGTGAGTTGAAACTAAAAGACGAGCGACTATTGAAGCAAGGTGGGGGAGGGCCGAGAATTGGGGGGTTGAAAACAGGGGGGATAAAAGTGAAGCTGGAACGGGACGATAAGGGTGAAAAAGCGCAAGAAGGGGAATAAGAAGATGGGAAGGCCTGAGCAGTAGCATCCAAACCCCTATCCACCCTGCTCGATGCAGCAGACAGGGCACCGTTGATTATCCTCTGCGGTGGCCAGAGCATCAGCAATTTGTTTGAAGTGCGATTCATTGCAAACCGCCCTCAGCTCTGTTGATCGAGCCAGTCTGGGGCACTGTCTATCCGTGAAGGGAGTGCATGGAAAACTCCTCCATTCTAAACTATATTTAACGTGACTCCCGATGCCATGCAAAAACCCGCGGAAAGCTGTTCTCTGAGTTCCGCGCAACATCTAGGATTCACCAGGGTGGTCCTATATCTCGTTTCATTTCCCACTATAATGGAAATGATCGTAAATAACTTCATTAGTTCAACCGCTTCCGGAGTGGTAGTTCAGTCAGATGACCGGTATGCGGTTAGGACAAGGTCGATTAGTAGCCATTCCGAGGCAAGATGGAGAAAACAGAAGAGATGGGACAACCGTGAAACACTTCATTGGATAAGGTGCTCGCACAGGACCTAGAGACAATCTCGTAATGTAAAAAAGCTTTGCTGGAATCCCTAGAAAAAACACCAAAAGTGGCTGCGAGTAGTCGATTTAAGGGCGATCACCAACACTAGAGAAACAATCATAATGGTATTACAAACGCATGCCAAGCCAGGTTGCATTAATTCGGTCCCAAAAAAAATTAGCAAGGTGCCGTAGTAGCAGTAATAGTATAACGCCTGTTAGTAGCTCTAGTTGTCGACCGCTGGGAAGTACGAGTAGCACAGCTAGCAAAATAGCATTTTCACTTTAAATTGGAAGCTACGCAAACCAAATTGGACATATTGCATTCTAAGCAGATCAGCAATTTCTTAGCAAGAAATGAGTAGTGAGGCAACCGGACAATGTTCCGACCACATTGTGGTCATTTTAATATAAGCAAGGTGTATAAGTAGCGGGCGATTGTATAAGTCCTTTTCTTGATCATGCGCATTGTTCACTTGGATCAAAGGCGGTGACCCAATTTTCCCCTGCCTACCTATATGCTTGCGCGTGGTTTGTATGCGTGGGAGTGACCATGTGCAGCTGCACGAAGTGCAGGTTGTTATAACCCCAGCAAACCCAGTCTAGCTACATTGGCCTTGTGCTGCACGATCAAAATGAGCGATGAACGACAAAAGGACGCATTGCCGAGGCAGCTACGATGCAAGCGAACATCAACGGCGCCGAAAGAGATCCTTACCAAGTTTGTGTTTGTCGACAGCAACACAACCCACGGAGCTGCTGAAATCGCCGATGTCAAGGAGAGTACGGTAAAAACATCAGCAATGACTACGGGCGAGAAGGTAGCAATACTCCGTCCAAACGTGGAGGAGCACCAGGAAGAAGCTGACTCTCGATGTGCTGCGGAGCGTTGAATTGACCAGCAATCCGAGGACACTGTAGAGCAGCTGCAGCAGTGTTTGAGAGAGAACGCGATCTACCTTTCTGTGTCCGCGGTCTTCAACGCCTTCAGAAGGCTAAAGAGTGCACTCAAGAGATGCCACCACAAGCTAGGCGAGGTCAAAATTGCCATAACAATCGCAAGCAGGTAGGCTTAAGCTTTGACTTCTGCATACACGTACCGCATGACAAAGAGAAGTGAAACTTCAAAGATGAGAACGGATGCAAGTCCTATCTGCGGTAGACGCGTGATGGGTCCAGAAGAATGAAGCGTTTGAACGTCCTCTTGCCTATTGTCAGAGGCCAAATGGTGACACTGATAGTGGTTATAGCTAAGAAAGCATCGCCAATCGAAGATCAAAGACGGCAACTGGAATAGTGCGAAGTTGTCGTTGTTTGTCGAGGAGATTATGGCGCGATACGCTGCAACGTGGAGATGAACGGTGCGTGGATGATCATGGACAAGGCTAGGGTTCACATGCCGGATGACCTAAGAGTGATCGTGGGCTCGTCTCATTAGCTGAATTTCCTGTCGCCATACTCGTACATGCTAAACCTAGTAGAACATGTTTTCGATAGCGAAAGCGTCAGCGAGACACCTGACCAGACGCACAGTGTGGTCATTCAAGAGTGTAGGAACGCTAACCAAGCATGACTGCACGAACTGAGTCCTCAATATGACGTTGAACCCGACAATCGCGGAGGCCGGACTGTCCCACATCAACTGACCGTCTAACGATACTGCTTTCCTTCTTGTTAATACACCACTCACTATAAAGGGGCATTTTGTGAACCGAACCGTTGGGGTTAGAATGTAGGATTAGAGCATGTACCGAGAAATCGATATCGTCGACCAGTCAGTTTTCGAATGTCGTGACAATGTTGACGCCGTCTAGCTCGTAGTGGCACTTCTTGAGCATAATATTAAGCCTTCTAAAGGCGTTGAAGACCGTGGACACGGAAAGTCAGAACGCTTCTCTCTCAAATGCTGCTGCAGCTGCTCTACAGTGTCCTCGGAATGCCGATCACTTCAATGCGCTGCAGCATGTCGAGAATCAGCTTCTTCCTGGTGCTCCTCCACGTTTGGACGGTGTATTGCTACCTTCTCACCCGTAGACATTGCTGATGTTTTTACCGTACTCTCCTTGACATCGGCGATTTCAGCAGCTCCGTGGGTTGTGTTGCTGTCGACAAACACAAACTTGGTAAGGATCTCTTTCGGCGCCGTTGACGTTTGCTTGCATCGTAGCTGCCACAGCAATTCGTCATCTCGTCGTTCATCGCTCATTTTGATCGTGCAGTACAAGGCTAATGAAGCTAGGCTAGGTTTGGTGCGGTCATAACAACCTGCACTGTTCGAAAAGTCGTGTGGCTGCAGAGGGTCACTCGCACCCATAATAAACACGCGAAAGCCTGTATGTATGTATGTATTCTCAACGGTCTATTAACTAGACACAGAGCCAGTATAAAACCATGGAGATCAATAGATAAGCAAGATTCAACGCATCATGATCATCGTGGCATGTTAGTTGAAGGTGAGCAACACACTTCAACTAATATGCCGCAGAAAGAATGGAACATATTGATAAAAAGTAGAACAAAACATGTTTAGTTGGTTTTTCACACGCCGGTTTTGTTCTTTTTCTGTCATTTTAATGTTTGTAGTATTAAGCATGTGAATCAACACAATACTGTACACAAGTCTTCCACTGATTCCGGTTGCGGGCCATATCTTCAAGAGTGCTAAGCCATTGGCACTCGTCATCTTTGGGTCCCCACCCTGGAAGACGTACGGATCCAACAGCGGCTAGACACAACGTCAGCGATTTCATGTGCTGCCGCCAAGTGGAAGGCTGACCACCACGCGGTCGCCTTCAGCCAGGTACTTGGAGAGCGAATAGAGCGCGACGCGGTAGACGCTCAGGTGCCATGCGAAGGACGTGGCCGAGCCATCTCAACTGGCGCAACAAAACCAGTTTGTTGAAGGGAATACTCGCATTCCCCAAGATGCGACGTCGAACGTCATTACTATTTACTCGATGTTGCCACCAAACACGAGCGATCCTCCTTAAGCAACCGTTATCGAACGCAGAAAGACGACGCATGTCTTCCACGCGAATCGGCCAGGACTCGTACTCATACAACAATATTGAGCGAACTGATGTGCTGTAGACGCGGCCCTTTAGTGAGAATGAGACGTCGCGACGACGCCACAAGTGCCTCAAATTAACAAATGCTGATCGAGCTTTAGCGATACGAAGAGAAACTTCTTTGTTGATAGTGCCGTCAGCAGAAACAGCTCCCAGCGAAAGCCTATGGACAGTGAAAAACAGGGTCAGCGCCTTTGAGCGAGGTGGTGGTGTCAATGATCAAGAAAAGGACTTGTACAATAGCCCGCTGCTGCTTACACACAACATGGTCTGAACATTGTGCAGTTGCCTTACTCCTCATTACTTGCTAAGAAATTGCTGATTTTCTGCTTAGAATGCAGTACGTTCAATTTGGTTTGCGAATAGTCCAATCTAAAGTGAAGTAGACATACTTAGGCTACGCTGATTTGGGAGGATGGTGTCCCAAATCGTCCCTTTGTAGGCTGCTGACTGACTCACAATGTCACTGAAACCCAATAATTAAAGGTTCATTGGAGAGTGGACAAGTATCTTAATAGTACAGAAATCTCACACCCATCACCAACCATCAGTCGAATCACAAGTTGCGCAGAATTTCTGCGTTTCAGATTGAAGACTACGCGGATAACAGAGGAAAATCTCAAGGTATGCGTGCTTTATTTTAAGGTTACCTGCAACTGCAACAGTATCTCTTCTTTCTTTCTATCCGCGGGTAAAATAGTTTCAGCGGAAATGCTTATGTGCGTCTTGAAGGATTTATAGGAATGCAACAGAAGTCTTTCCTTAGCAGGGACGGGGACAAAAACGGCCTAAAAGCAATTAATCGTATTACAGTCTTACAGTTGGCGAGCGTGCATCTAGCGTCATGCATGTAAATCTAATGAGGAGTAGAGGTTAATTATTTTTCGGTATACTTCTTTGCGGCGGGATCCACGAGTAGCAAAACCAGTTCTCTTTCTGTTGATCCAAACAACTCTAGTAATACCGGATCGCATTTAGGCAATTCCAGTAAAAGCTAAACACTAATGGCAGGAAACATGTGGACGTACCTTTCGAATGTGCGCCTGATTAGAATAAAACTCGGATAATGTGGTTGTAAAACAGATGCCCGAAATACGCACACCACCAGGCATCATTCGCTTCAGATTTCGACACTGAGTAGAAATCCATTGGGTCTGGATATCTTCTATGTTGTGTAGTTCGTTCTTGTTATATTGGTTGGAATCCAGCGACGAAACCTCAATGGGTAAAAATAGTCGTTCTTCATTTTCATATAACTAAAAATTAGAGGTAACGTCGACATACACTTCCTAACAAAATGCCACAATGGAAGCCAACGATATTTCGGAATCTGTCGACAAAAGAGGGCTCATAAGAGACCAACTGGATCATCTATGGTGATGAAAAGTGGCTAGTGTAATATTCGTCCGGGTGGGGGTTCCAGGTTCTTCTGTAAGCGACACGTAGAGTAGGTCGCGATGAACTCGATGACCTGCAATGGGAAACAAAGAGAACGTAGGTGACCGGAAGTTAAACACAACCATCTAGTAAGGACGAATATCGACGAGTAACGTATCAAGTGCCTGCTAACAAGCCGACACTAGAAGGTGATCCAATACCCGAGAGGCAACTAAGCGTAGGCTGAGCAGGTCGCAGTCAAGGTCACGAAAACAGGAAAGGCGCTGGTTCAGATGGGAGTTAAAACAGCATGGCGCGTCGCGTTGCATTGATCCCCCATCTAACAGGCACTGTCCTCAGCGCCTGCGACTGTTAGCTGGTTACAGCCTGTTGAAGTGTACAACCGTTGAGGAACCAAGAACGCCCGGCCTCATGATTCGATAAGTTAGATCTGACACTTCTTCCACAACGAACACTCCTTCCCAGTTGCGACGGAGCTTCGCAAGGACGGCCGGTGGTGTTACTGTTGCTTTGAGCCAGACCGTATCACCAGGCTTGAACGGACTGTCGAAAGCCTTCCGGTCAAAGTAAGTCTTCTGGTGACGCTGCGAGGTTTTCAGGTGCGCTTGTGCGATCTGGTGAGCTCGCAACAGACTTGTCTGTAACCCAAGTACATGTTCCGAAGCGGTTGGAGTTTCATGGTTGACGTCGGCAGCAGAGTATCCGAAGGCAGACGCAGTTCAGGACTCGTCATGAGATGCAGTGTCTGACAGATCGATGAGTGGACGGACGCTCGATAAGCCAGCAAAAAGTTGAGCAGAGCCATGCCTCATTCCCGAGGAGTCTCGGTAGTCAAGACAGCCTGTAATAGCGTCTTAGCGTACGGTTCGTGCGTTCAACTAGTCCGTTTCCCTTCGGGTGGTATGCAGTCGTCGGTGCCCTCCGAAAGCCGAAAAGGTGACACATCTCGCTCATGAGTGTGCTCTAGAAGCTGATTCCGCGGCCCGTGTGTAACTGTTAGGGGATCCCCACCTTGCGACCCAATTGCTGAAGAAAGCTACCGCCACACTCCATGCGCCTACATTTTGAAGAGGGACTGCCTCACACCATTTGGTAAAGTAATCCACCATAACAAGAACAGAAAGATGACCTCTAGCAGTATCTGGCATTGGGCCACGTCGATGCCCACGATCTCGTTCGGGAAGCCAGCCGTTATTAGTTGCAGTGGACTGCGATGCGTGGTTGTGGGGTTTTTGATCCTTGAGCAATCAGCGCACGACTGGCAAGAGATAGCGATGTCACTCCGTAGATGGGGCCACCAAAACCGACGTCAAATTGCAGCCCCATCTTATTCTGCCCTGCGTGTCCTAATTACTCGTGGATCCTTCGCATCACTTCCTGCGTTGCGGAAGTTGGCACAATTATTCGCAAATAGGCCGGTCCGTTTTGAAAATACATGACACCGTCAATTAGGCGCAAATACGGTCTTATAGACCATAGGCATTTGGTTTCCCAGCTGGAGCCTGCCAGCTCGTGATGTGTTGGTCGGTCTTCATCCCGAACGATGCCTTATACAAAAGGCTCAGCTCCGCATCCGTTGACTACAACTGAATCCATTCCTCTATCTCAGAAGGGTCCAGAATGACGGCAGTTACACAAGCGGCAGTACAAGATGGGCATGGTCCGTGGTTCGGGATAAGGGGCCCGCATTCCCATGCTTTGTGCCCGGATGGTGACATTCAAAGTCGTATTCTTGAAATTGCTCCTGCCAACGGGCAATCTGTCCCTCGGGATTCCGGAAGTTTTGAAGCTAGATCAATAATTGGTGATCAGTACACACAATGAACTTGTGGTAAAGCAGAGAGTGCCTGGATTTGTTGATGAAAAACACGAGCGCTGACATTACTTTTCGTGTTGTGCAATAGTTACGCTCTTTTCGTGAAAGGCTTCTGCTGACATACGCGATAACCGGTTCCATCCCTTCCACCCTGCGTTGCGAGAATACAACTCCAATGCCGCCGTCGCTGGTATCTGTGTCCAGAAGGAAGGAGCCCGCGGATGGAGGCGTGTCAGAGAATGTCAAAATCGGTGCTTCACAGAATGTAATCCAGTTTTTCAAATGCTTCTTGCTAGCGACGCAGATAGGAAGAAGCAAGGCCGAGAAAGCTACGCACTACGTTAACATTTTTCGGAATCGGCCACGAGCGGATTTGCTCGACCTTCGCTGGGTCGCAGCGCACTCCTTCTCCAGACACGATGTGACCTAGGTAGGTCACTTCTCATAGGAATTGGCACTTTGTGGGTTTAAGCTTTAACCGCAGCTGCAACAGTCGATACAGCACGGCGATAGGACCCCGGTTGTGTTCTTCCGTAGTTCTGCCGTGCACAATGATATCGTTCAGATAAACTAGACAGTGCTTCGGTATCAAATCTGCTAGAGATGTGTGTATTCGGCGCTAAAAAGTTGCAGGGGCGTTTGTTAAACCAGACAGCATGGTCTGGAATTCGTACAGACCGGAAGGGACAACAAAAGCAAAGTTACACCTGTCGTCAGAGTGTAGCTCGAATTGTCAATAACCCGAAGCCAGGTCCAAGGTAGTAAACCAACGTGAGTCACCGAGGGCGTCCATTGTGTCATCCGTTCTCGGTAATTTAAAGGTGTCTACAAGTGAGCGAGTTTAGCTTACATAGCCGCAGCTCTCTGTTTTCTTTTTGACGAGAACGATGGGCGATGCCCAAGGCGAATTTGACGGTTGTAACAGGCTTTCGACAATGCGTCTTAAATCCTTCTAGAACTGGAGCGGTACGCGTCTAACAGATTGACGAGTTGGTGGCGCGTCGCCTGTGTCCATGCGGTGCTGTAAGAAGTTGCACCTTCCCATATCGTCATCTGACCAAGAGAAAACGCGCTGGTACTTGTTTAAAATTTCCCCCAATTCACTGCCGATAAGAGTCGGTAATTCAGCAGAAACCTGTTGAATGAGTTGCTGCACGGAGGTCTCCGCAACCGCACAGGACACCACAGAACGGTTCATCGAGACAAAGGGCAGCATGTGATTGTCTACTTAAGGGGTTTGTTGACAAAATCGACCTTGACATTAAACCGGGAAAGGAAATCCACTCCCAGCACCACAACCCAAGAGAGATCGTCTACTACAAAAACCCGATGTGTCGCTGTCATCTCGCCTAGCTTAATCGTTGCTGTGGTTCCACCCGAGGATTTGATACCTGTCCTGTTGGCTTCCACCAGGTTTACAGAACTGTCTTAGAAGACAGTAGCGTCTGCTGGAACTACACGCTTCCGTACTAAAGAACATATGGCCCCGGGGTCGATAAGCGTCTTAACACGTTTCTTTCATATCAAAAAAGGGATAAGGGGAACGGTTAACAGGTTTGCGCCCGAAATGGTGGGCACGGTAGACGAGCACCTTCGGGGCTTACTACATTGTTCGTGCTCCCCAGTGTAAACGGCCTTCTGGGACCACTGGCCTTGCGGTCCTACTTGCCGCGGATAAATAAGAGGATGGTGACCAATCCACAGAAGTCTGTTACCGGACATTCGGGAGTAGGGGCTGTACTTGCAATCGGTGAGGATCGTTGAGTGAAGACGACAATGAGTGAGGCAGGTATCCGGAAGAGACTGAGTGACTTCAGCACCTGGAGGTAACAGATGACATTTCGATTGCGAATGCAGTTGCTCTACGTCATCGAAGCTGGTAGCAATATCGAGAGCTACCCCTCGCGATCGCGGAGGCTTGAGGCTGAACTTGGAAAGCAGTTCGTGGTTCTTCACCCCGACACTGGTCACTGTAGGCTACTCCCGACAGGTAGTTTTGCATTCGAGCTGCCCAAAATAATAAATAAATCGCCAGCTGCATGTCGTAAAGGCGCTTCGATGTCACGCGACCACCACCAGTCGGGCGTGGGATGAGTATACCGCGAGGACGCCCTCCCCTATGCGGATTCGAACCGGTGACCTTATGGTTGCAAACCAGACGCGCTTGCCACTCGGTCAAAGTCATCGCCGGATGTAAACACAGAAGGCTCATGCAGAGCAGGGCGGCTAATTCCAACGTGACACGACATTTTGCATCCTGGCAGGGTCCCAGATATGTAATATTCGTTCAGGTCGGAGGTTCCAGGTTCTTCTGTAAGCGACACGTAGAGTAGGTCGCGATGGACCCGATGACCTGCAATGGGAAACAAAGGGAACGTAGGTGGCCGGAAGTTAAACACAACCATCTAGTAAGGATGAATATCGACGAGTAACGTATCAAGTGCCTGCTAACAAGCCGACACTAGAAGGTGGTCGAATACCCGAGAGGGAACTGACAATGGCACGCAATACACTTCGGCAACTTTTACGGAGTTCTGCAAGCAATGCGCCGTAAAGCACATTCGCTCGCCGCCGTTTCACCCACAGTCGAATGGGCAGGCAGAAAGGTTTGTTGATACGTTCAAGCGAGCTCTCCACAGATAAAAAGGGGATGGAGGTATAGAGGTGGTTGACTGGTTCATTTACTCTACTGATCAACACCGAGTCCACAAGCGCCGGACGGTTTCTCCAGCGGATGCCATGATGAACCGGAAGCTCCGCATGCCTTTCGACGCCATCGGACCGCGCTCGGAATCCTATGTTGGTGAAGGAAACCGCAGAATGGAACAGGATTTTAACCGGTGGCATGGAGCAAAGAAGCGATCGTTTACACTTTGACAGATAGCAATCGCCCATGCCGCCAGAACACTTATAAAGACCGAGACGAATTACAGCCAAATTGAGTAAGAAGCATTGGCCATAGTGTACGCGGTCAGGAAATTCCACAAAATTCTACACGGCCGAAGCTTCAAGCTTCTGACAGACCACAAGCCCTTGCTGGCTATCTTTGGTTCGAAAAAAGCATCCCTGTCTACACAGCCAACCGGCTACAACGTTAGGCCCCTATCTCAATGGGGTATGATATCGGAATTCACTACCAGTCGACAATTTCCATTGGCCAAGCGGATGAAGTATCATGTTTAATTTATGCCCATCAGCAAGAACATGAGGATACAATCATCGCCACGGTCGAGATCGAACCTGACGTCCACTATCTGGTAAG